CTGTCTCTGCTTTTCCTTGTATCTTTCTGCCTGAGCATCCAACTCCAGTTGCATCTTTAGCCTGGCTGCAGCCACAGCTTCCTGTCTTCTGACCACTTCATCTGGGTCTAGGGAAGGACACAACACAAAGTCATTCCATAGTCTTAAAAACTGTATAAAAGTAGTATTAAACCCTCAGTGTTTTTTTTTTACCTGAACACACCAGGCACAGCAAAATAAACATTCCTCAGTAAACCCCAGCACTAGCAGTTTACAACTCTGCCCCTGGCCTTTTAGTGCTGCTTCCCTGAACTTCTGGTTTTCACAAGAAAGAGTTAAGAGTGAACAGTGCAGTTTCCAGCCAGTCTGTTACCATAGAGAAGGGAGGAGGGGAGTGTCTTTCCATCCTAAGCTATGGGACAGTGTTTCTATTGATGCACACACAAGGGTGGCTCCTTAGGATGCTGCAAGAGAAAGGAGCCACCCTGAAAACAGGAAACCATAGGCTGTGGTCATGGCTCCATTTTAAACTGGAACATAGGCAAGGATTTAAAGATAAGCCTCATACCCAGAAAGTGATTTTGTAGTACCGTATTTTTCACTCCATAAGACGCACCTAGGCTTTAGAGGAGAAAAACAAGAAAAAAAATATTCTGAACCAATGGACTGCAGACACAGTACAGGACTGCGGACACAGTACAGGGGATGACCAGAGACTGCGGACACAGTACAGGGGATGACCAGAGACTGCGGACACAGTACAGGGGATGACCAGAGACTGCGGACACAGTACAGGGCATGACCAGAGACTGCGGACACAGTACAGTACAGGGCATGACCAGAGACTGCGGACACAGTACAGGGCATGACCAGAGACTGCGGACACAGTACAGGGCATGACCAGAGACTGCGGACACAGTACAGGGCATGACCAGAGACTGCGGACACAGTACAGGGCATGACCAGAGACTGCGGACACAGTACAGGGCATGACCAGAGACTGCGGACACAGTACAGGCATGACCAGAGACTGCGGACACAGTACAGGGCATGACCAGAGACTGCGGACACAGTACAGGGCATGACCAGAGACTGCGGACACAGTACAGGGCATGACCAGAGACTGCGGACACAGTACAGGGGATGACCAGAGACTGCGGACACAGTACAGGGGATGACCAGAGACTGCGGACACAGTACAGGAGATGACCAGAGACTGCGGACACAGTACAGGGGATGACCAGAGACTGCGGACACAGTACAGGAGATGACCAGAGACTGCGGACACAGTACAGGAGATGACCAGAGACTGCGGACACAGTACAGGAGATGACCAGAGACTGCGGACACAGTACAGGAGATGACCAGAGACTGCGGACACAGTACAGGAGATGACCAGAGACTGCGGACACAGTACAGGAGATGACCAGAGACTGCGGACACAGTACAGGAGATGACCAGAGACGCGGGCACAGTACAGGGAATGACCAGAGACTGCGGGCACAGTACAGGGAATGACCAGAGACTGCGGGCACAGTACAGGGGATGACCAGAGACTGCGGGCACAGTACAGGGGATGACCAGAGACTGCGGGCACAGTACAGGGGATGACCAGAGAGTGCGGACATAGTACAGGGGATGACCGGAGACTGAATTTGACAGGTACCCACTCCCACTTCCGCAGAGTTGTCCTCCTTTTAGTGTGGTCACTAGGCTGACAGCCGGGTGCTCACTGCGCATGCACGAGAAGCGGTTCGCTTTGTGAATGGCCTGGCGTGACACCAGCCATGGTGAGGACACTGCTGGACCAAGGGACAGGTAAGTGTTGGTATTTTAAAATTCAACAGCTACAGTTTTTGTAGCTGCTGACTTTTATTTATTTTTTTACATTCAACTGGAAGTCTGCTTTAAGTAGTAACATTTTTTTTCCTCTCTTTTGGCCTAAAAATCTCAGAAAAAAAATATAATAAAAGCTGAACAGTGTAAGAATCCCTGCCAGTGGTACAGAGTAGTGATGCACCGATGTAACTGCTGTCGAAAATTATTGGTTGAAAATAGAGCTATAGATGTTTTGCTGATTAAAAAAAAAAAAAAAAAAAAAAGTGCCAATGATGATAACGGACTTCAGCGCAAAAATCACGTCCCATTGACTTCAATGTGAAAAACCGCCTCTTTTAAGTTTACATTTTTACATATATTTTGTTTATTTTCAACTTTTGTGTTACTTTCAATAACAGTTCCATTACCGGATTGTATTTTTTAAATTCATGATAATAAAAAGTTGAGTATATAATACACAAGTATATCACAGAAGGGAGTCCACCCCTCACATCTTTGTAAATATTTGATTCTATGTTTTCATGTGACAACACTGAAGAAATGACACTTTGCTACAATGTGACGTAGTCAGTGTACAGCTTGTATAACATGTAAGTTTGCTGTCCCCTCAAAATAACACAACACACCGCCATTAATGTCTAAAACCGCTGGCAACAAAAGTGAGTCCACCCCTAAGTGACAAGGTCCAAATTGGGCCCAATTAGCCATTTTCCCTCCCCGGTGTCATGTGACGTGTTGGATAATGCACTAGGTGTGTGCCACCTGTCTGCTCTTTTTCCAGTGGTTGATTCCACCGCCTGAGGAGGGCTGCATCCCTGAAGCATTATCTTTAGGCCACCCCTGTCCTGGTCCCCTTGGCAATTCATTTCCTGGAGCGCTGGAGAATACACATGATATCCAGTAAGATCTCAGGTGTGAATGGGGAGCAGGTGTGTTACGTTTGGCGTTATCACTCTCACTCTCTCATACTGGTCACTGTAAGTTCAACATGGCACCTCATGGCAAAGAACTCTCTGAGGATCTGTAAAAAAAAAAAGAAGAATTGTTGCTCTACATAAAGATGGCCTAGGCTATAAGAAGATTGCCAAGACCTGAAACTGAGCTGCAGCACGGTGGCCAAGACCATACAGAGGTTTAACAGGACAGGTTCCACTCAGAACAGGCCTCGCCATGGTTGACCAAAAAAGTTGAGTGCACGTGCTCAGTGTCATATCCAGAGGTTGTGTTTGGGAAACAGATGTATGAGTGCTGCCAGCATTACTGCAGAGGTTGAAGGGGTGGGGGGTCAGCCTGTCAGTGCTCAGACCATACGCCGCACACTGCATCAAATTGGTCTGCATGGCTGTCGGCCCAGAAGGAAGCCTCTTCTATAGATGATGCACAAGAAAGACCGCAAACAGTTTACTGAAGACAAGCAGACTAAGGACATGGATTACTGGAGGCATGTCCTGTGGTCTGATGATACCAAGATCAAATTATTTGGTTCAGATGGTGTCAAGTGTGAGTGGCGGCAACCAGGTGAGGAGTACAAAGACAAGTGTGTCTTGTCTACAGTCAAGCATGGTAGTGGGGGGGTGTTATGGTCTGGGGCTGCATGAGTGCTGCCGGCACTGGGGGGGCTACAGTTCATTGAGGGAAACCATGAATGCCAACATGTACTGTGACATACTGAAGCAGAGCATGATACCCTCCCTTCGGAGACTGGGCCGCAGGGCAGTATTCCAACATGATAACGACCCCAAACACACCTCCAAGATGGCCACTGCCTTGCTAAAGAAGCTGAGGGTGAAGGTGATGGACTGACCAAGCATGTCTCCAGACGTAAACCCTATTGAGCATCTGTGGGGCATCTTCAAATGGAGGGTGGAGGAGTGCAAGGTCTCTAACATCAACCAGCTCCGTGATGTCGTCATGGAGGAGTGGAAGAGGACTCCAGTGGCAACCAGTAAAACTCTGGTGACCTCCATGCCCAAGAGGGTTAAGGCAGTGCTGGAAAATAATGGCGGCCACACAAAATATTGACACTTTGGGCCCAATTTGGACCTTGTCACTTAGGGGTGGACTCACTTTTGTTGCCAGCGGGTTTAGACATTAATGGCCGTGTGTTGAGTTATTTTGAGGGGACAGCAAATTTACATGTTATACAAGCTGTACACTCACTACGTCGCATTGTAGCAAAGTGTCTTCAGTGTTGTCACATGAAAAGATAGAATCAAATATTTACAAAAATGTGAGGGAGGTGGACTCACTTCTGTGAGATACGGTATACACATTTTATAATATATAAATAAATTTTAAAATTGTCTATTTCTGTTTTCGGCCAAGTTCACACAGCCAATGATCCCCTACAGTGAGGCGCAGATGGTCTGCCTCCAGCCACAATCATTGCAGTAATCGCTGGCTGTGCAAAGTCATGGATAGCTGTGGCCGCTGTCAGCCTGTCATTGCACTGCATGGGCTGAGTGACGGCAGCACTTCGTACACACCTGTCATTCCAGATGCAGGTATCTGCAGATTCCTCCTGGACCCATGGGAATGGACCTTAGCGGCTGCTCACACTAGGCAGGACAGCTACCCTATGACTTTATCTGACAGCATACTTGAACCCCCAAAGTCCAAGAAGCTGAGTACCACAGAACGAATGTTAAAGTAGAACTTCAGCCTAAACTTAGCCAGTATTTAAAATGCCTCCTTCCCCCTCCTCCTAACACTTATGCTGATAATCTTCTAGTACACTCCCTCATCATCTCACGCCTTGACTACTGCAACTCCCCTCCTCACTGGCCTACCCAAGTGCAGGCTCTCCCCGCTCCAGACCATCCTGAACTCAGCTGCCAGACTCATCCACCTCACCACCCGCTGCCACCCCCCTCTGCCTCTCCCTCCACTGGCTCCCGATTCAAAACGCATCAAATTTAAAACTTCTAACCTGACCTACAAAGCTGTTCACAACACTGCCCCTGACTACCTCACCAACCTTATCACCAAGTACCACCCTACCCGTACCCTTCGCTCCTCTCACAGGACCTCCTTCTATCCTGCTCCCTGGTCTCCTCCTCCCATGCACGACTGCAGGACTTCTCCAGGTCCTCCCCCATCCTCTGGAACTCACTGCCCAATCCATCAGACTGTCGCCTTCCCTATTCACATTCAGGCGCTCCCTCAAAACCCATCTCTTCAGGGAAGCCTACCCCACCCTCACCTAACGGCCATCCTCCCTCATTCCTCCCACCACTTCATCCCCCTCAGCCACTTCGCTACTGTACCACTAGATTGTAAGCTCGTAAGAGTAGGGCCCTCTTACCCCTCGTACATTGTTTGTGACTGTGCCATGTATTGTCCCCCCTATTGTACAGCGCTGAGCAAGCGCTATATAAAACTCGTAGCTAAGAAAGAAAATAGCCCCGCTCTGGTCCACTCATGTGGTCTTCTGCGTTAGCGAATGACTGCTCCAGAGGAGAGGAGAGAGAGAGCGCTCGACAATATCCTATCCATTGTCAGCTTTCCCTCCTCTCCCCTGCAGCCGCCGCTGGCGGCCACAGGAGAGATGGATCAAGCTGGATCACGTGACTGGACCAGAGCGGGCTGAAAATAGGCAAGTATAGACATATTGCTTACACAGGTTAGTCAGCTTAGGTGTTGGAGGGGGTGGAGGAAGCTTTTTTTTATAGCAGAACTTCACTCTCTCAATCAACATTGATTATTAATCCTTATTCAGCTAGCAATGATTTAAGAAGGTATATCATATTTACTTGATTTAAACTTTTTTTTCTAATCTCTTCAGTTACTTCCTGATTTCTAGCCTAGGCAAATTATGTCATACCTGCCAGGAGTCTTCAAGGGGGGAGGGGCTCTCTCAGTTAAGCACACCCTCCTGCCTGAGCTAAGAGCAGATGGATTCCAGGAAGTAAATCCCACATTAATCATCTGCCCTTACTCAAGATGGCCGCGACTAGAAATGATATGGTGGGGGGGGGGGGGGGGGGGGGGGGATTGTTGTTTAAAGTGCTTCCTCAGCAAAATAGATCAAGGCGACATGGATTGAATGGGGGAGTTTGCTTTGAACATTAAAAATGAAACAAACAGCATTTTTGATTTGTGGTGCTCAGTGTATTTCAACTTGGAGACTAGTTTGGTTTTGCCCGGAATTCTACTTTAATTAGTGCAAACAGAAGGTTCATGGCTATCCACCACTTTATGGACCCCCCGCTCTACTGAGCAGACCTGGAAAGGGCCAAAGGATAAAAATATGAAAGACATGAACATCAGATTTCCTTTAGACCTTTATTTGAAATGTAGAAACTGGTGAGCGACATATCAGACTGGATGTCGCTCCACTTCCTTAAACTGAACCTCTCCAAAACCGAGTTTCTTGTCTTCCCCCCCAGCCCGGACACCACCGCCCATTGACTTCGCCATCACATCCAACAACGCCACCATCAAACCCGCCCCCCAGGCCAGAGTACTTGGTGTCATTCTGGACTCCAACCTATCCTTCCAGCCCCAAGTCCAATCTTTAACAAACTCATGCAGACTCCACCTCCGCAACATCTCCAAAATCTGCACGTTCCTAACCCCAGAAACCACTAAACAGCTCATCCACTCCCTCATCATATCACGGCTCGACTACTGCAACTCCCTCCTCACTGGCCTGCCTCGCCGCTGGCTATCCCCGCTTCAGTCCATCCTGAATACGGCTGCCAGACTCATTCACCTTACCAACCGCTCCATCTCCGCCACCCCCCTCTGCCAATCCCTCCACTGGCTTCCGATTGCACAACGGATCAAAATCCTAACACTGACGTACAAAGCCGTCCACCATACTGCCCCAAACTACATCACCGACCTAATATCCAAGTACCACCCAACACGCACACTCCGCTCCTCACAAGACCTCCTTTTGTCTAGTTCCCTGGTCTCCTCCTTCCATGCCAGTCTCCAGGACTTCTCCAGGGTGTCACCCATCCTCTGGAACTCCCTGCCCCAACCCATCAGATTATCACCTGCTCTCCTCTCCTTTAGGCGCACCCTGAAAACCCATCTCTTCAGGGAAGCCTACCCCACCCCCTGCTAATTTCAGACCTCCTCCACTCTTCCTACCACTCCATCCCCCACAGCTATCTCCTCCTGTGCTACCATCCCCTCCCTCCTAGATTGTAAGCTCCAAGGAGCAGGGCCCTCGATCCCCTCGTTTTTTGTATTGTTGTTGTTCTGTCACATGTTCTGTCCCCCTTTGTAATGTACAATGCTGAGCGAACCATTGGCACTTTGTAAATACTGTATAATAATAATAACTAGTGAAAGTACGGCTCCAGAACATACCTGCTGCGGTTGTCGTCTGTGCAGTTGTGAGAAGAGAGCTGATGTTGGATGAAAATTTCTGCTTCAAAAGATACAAAAGGATGCAACTAAATAGGACGAACCATCCGTAGCTTGACAGAGCCGCTCCCACTGCAAGGAAACACAATCAAAAGATCACGGCCGTTATCAATACCTGGAATAGAAATGATACACTGACAGCAATCTGGTGGAATCTGTAGAGGATTCTCACCTATGCCTGTGGCCGCCTAAGAAGAACCAGACCCACAGCAGACCAGCTGCATGGAGGAAAGTTTATAGCTGCCCATAAAAGATTCTCTTGTCCAGCCCACTGTACTCCATAGATTCCCCCATCCACCCTGAAGAGCACAGATGGACAAAGCTTCTGCTGCCAGCTAGTGTATGCCGACAGCCGGCACCCACAGCTGTCAGATTACTCAGCAAGTGGGTCTGGCTTAGACTTGTGCTTAGGAGAGTCTCTCTTTCATCAGGGATAGAGATATACACTATATTGCCAAAAGTATTGGCCCCGCCCTCCAAATCATGTGATTCAGGTGTTCCAATCCCCTCCATGGGCACAGGTGTATACAATCAAGCCCCTAGGCATGCAGACTGCTTCTACAGACATTGGTGAAAGAATGGGTCGCTCTCAGGAGCTCAGTGACTCCAAGCGTGGTCCCGTGATAGGTGGTCACCTGTGCAATAAGTCCATCCGTGACATTTCCTGGCTACTAAATATTCCACAGTCAACTGTTGTGGGATTATAACAAAGTGGAAGCAACTGGGAACAACAGCAAATCAGCCACCAAGTGGTAGGCCACGTCACATGACAGAGCGGGGTCAGTGCATGCTGAAGCGCACAGTGCGCAGAAGTCACCGTCTGCAGAGTCAATAGCTAAAGACCTCCAAACTTGGTGTGGCGTTCAGATGAGCCCAACAACAGTGCGTAGAGAGCTTCATGGAATGGGTTTCCATGGCCGGACAGCTGCATCCAAGCCTTACATCACCAAGTGCAATGCAAAGCGTCGGATGCCGTGGTGTAAAGAACGCCGCCACTGGACTCTAGAGCATTGGAGACGTGTTCTCTGAAGGGACCAATCACACTTCTCTGTCTGGCAATCCGATGCACGTCTCTGAGTTTGGCGGTTGCCAGGAGAATGGTACTTGCCTGACTGCATTGTGCTAAGTGTAAAGTTTGGTGGAGGAGGGATTATGGTGTGGGGTTGTTTTTCAGGGGTTGGGCTTGGCCCCCTAGTTCCAGTGAAGGGAACTCTTAAGGTGTCAGTATACCAAGACATTTTGGGCAATTTCATGCTCCCAACTTTGTGGGAAGAGTTTGGGGATGGCTGCTTCCTGTTCCAACATGACTGCGCACCAGTGCACAAAGCAAGGTCCATAAAGACATGGAGGAGCCAGTTTGGGGTGGAGGAACTTGACTGTCCTGCACAGAGTCCTGACCTCAACCCCATAGAACACCTTTGGGATGAATTAGAGCGGAGACTGCGAGCCAGGCCTCCTCCCCCGACATCAGTGCCTGACCTCACAAATGTGCTTTTGGAAGAATGGTCCAACCTTCCCATAGACACCCTCCTAAACCTTGTGGACGGCCTTCCCAGAAGAGTTGAAGCTGTTATAGCTGCAAAGGGCGGGGCCAACTCAATATTGAACCCTACGGACTAAGACTGGGGGGCCATTAAAGTTCATGTGCGTGGAAAGGCCGGCCGACCAATACGTTCGGAAATATACTGTATATATTGTGTGTTTTTTTGCCCAGCTGCTTTCTTCTGGGAATACAAAAACTGTTTCTTAGTCTTCCCGGCATATATCCAACAGTAACCTTGAATTGAAATCCATGTGTAGCTACTACTGCTTGACAGAAATCGATGCAACGTTCGACGTTTGTGTTGAACAGGCATGTTGGAAACTTTCTTTTCTCCATCCTTGTATTCCGACAGTGGAGAGCTTAGGCTTAGGCTCCGTTCACACATGGTGTCGCAAGAATGAGCATTCCTCATTTCTTTACAGTGAGAGCTGTGAAAATGTGGAATAGACTCCCTCAAGAGTTGGTTGTGGCCAGCTCAGTGGATTGCTGTAGGAAAGTCCTGGATTCTTTCTTGGATACACAGAATATAACTGGATAGAACATTTATAGGTAAAGTTGATCCAGGGAATATCCGATTATCTCTCGGAAGATCAGGAAGGAATTTTTTCCCCTGCGGAGCAAATTGGATCGTGCTTTGCTGTTTTTTTTTGCCTTCCTCTGGATCAACTGTGGGTATAGGATTATAACTTTTTTTTTTTTTTCTATGGCTGAACTGGATGGACTTTTGTCTTTTTTCAGCCAGACTAACTATGTCACTATGCTCTGTGATTTTTATAGCGCGATTCTGCATGTCACAGACCAACCCCTTCACTTGAAATGAGGAGCCCTACGTGCGTTTGTTGGCCAAAAAGAAGCTCCTTCTCCTCTTTGCTGGACAGGCTTTGCGCAATTTTTAAAGGCGTGTTTTGCTGCAAATAGCCACGGGACAATATTACATCGTGTTTGGAGTGCCATTAACAGATAATGGCACCCAAAACGCACGTCACGCGGCATTTGTCATGCAATTTGGAATTCCAAATTGCGAAGAATGGAACCTTCCTGTTCTTTGTTTACTTAAAGAGAGCCTGTGTTAGAGAGGAGTCACCGGAGCAATGGCAGAGCTGTCATTCTACATGTCCTGAGGCTGTGTGCAGAGAACCGCTCCCAATCACAGCCTCAGCATATGAAAGACGAGGTGTTAAAGTCTTTCCAAGAACTAAAACAAACATCTCCAGAGTTTCTGGAAGAAAACAAAGGGTGGAGGGCAGCACGTCTGATTGTGCTTTATTTAAGTAGTCATTTTGTTATTGGCCAAGCGAGACTTTCGTCGATCCACTGAACATCCAATAGAAGTATAGGAAGCAGGGTGGATAAAAATCAATGATTTTTTTTTAAAAAAAAAAATAAAATAAAATCGGATTTTTTTTATTTAAATCGGAAATTTAAAATTTTTTTTATTTAAATCGGATTTTTTTTATTTAAATCAAATTTAAATCTGATTTTTTTTATTTAAATCGGATTTTTTTATTTAAATCGGATTTTTTTTAAATAAAATGCTTTTTGAGGAAAATATATTACCATCCAAAGGTTATTCCATCATGAAATAAAGATTCGTTTTTTAATTATGTAGAATAAGGCTGTGTATATGTTAATTTTTTTGGTAAATAAATTCCATGAATCCATTCACAATGTCATGCTCTTCCAGAGGTTTTTGTAAGATTATTGGGCAGTTTTTCTCTGCCTACAAGATATGATCACAGTGTTTGGTTTACTTTTGCAGTTCTCAAAACTGAATTTGACTCAGCGGAGATCACATGCCTCTTCTTCACAGCAAAAATGTTATAACATGAACAGAGTTAAGAAAAAGACCTTCATCCTAACTTCTACAAACCTATGAATACAGAATCAACCCCTTCACTGCTAAGTTTCAAGAAGTTCAGTGAATAGAATAGAAACAATATTTTTCTGATTGTTTGGAGTGGAATAGATCTGCACAAGAAGAAAGTGAAACTAAGTGTGAGGAGGGAGGGGCTGACAGTGCGAGGAGGGAGGGGCTGACAGTGCGAGGAGGGAGGGGCTGACAGTGCGAGGAGGGAGGGGCTGACAGTGCGAGGAGGGAGGGGCTGACAGTGCGAGGAGGGAGGGGCTGACAGTGCGAGGAGGGAGGGGCTGACAGTCTAAGTTTCTTCAATAATATATATATTTTGTTTAGCCAAATTAGTTATCAAACATGGATGTTAAGCAAATCACATATGCTGGAATGTTATTGTTTCAGTTGAATAAATCTATTTAAATTGTTATTATTAAGGTAATGATTATTTTTCTCCTTCCTAAATACAACAGAAAAGTTGTCCAAATATGAATGATTAACCTATTAAACTGGGGATAAAAAAACTAATATGAAAAGTTGTTATTCTAAAAATCTTCATCTACTTGCATATTAAAGTTAAACCAGCAAGAATTAGTCTTTATGTAGAAAACTAGGATTTACATCAAGCCTTACTGACTAGTGATTTAAATTGTGATTTAAATCAGTTTGATTTAAATCAAATCCACCCTGGTAGGAAGTGTTTGTGTCTTTTTTTTTTTTTTTCTTTTACTTCCTCATTACTAAAATGACTTGGCTACCAAGTGCATTCTGAGAGCTTCACATCATTAGAGATTGCAGAAAATCTATTATTTTTAGTGGGCCAGATTTTATTGGCCTGATTTTCTGCTGATCCTCTTATGTAATGAACAATGATGATTGCTCCTCTGGAAATATATAATTAATAACAATACATTAATAAACAAGACAAGATTATATAAAAATTAAAACACAGACAGGAAGATCTACATTAACCACTTCCCGTCCGGCCGTTGTATATAAACGGCCGGATGGTGGCAGTGCAGGGGAGGGTGGCCATTTATAAACAGGCTCCCTGGGAGTGCGCAGCACCGCGATCCAGTTCCTCCTGTGTTCTTTCGGACACAGTGGAACACCGATCGTTGTACGGGACCTCTGTGTGAGGTCCCGATCATGTGATCACTGATTGGCCAATCAGTGATCACATGAAGAGTAGTAAGCAAAATGTCACTTCTGACATCATTGCTTACTACGTGTGAAATCTGTGAATGATCACAGAGGTCACATGGTACAGGGCTATTCACAACAGCCTTGTACCATGCGACAAGCTGCGACCAATTACAGCTCACACAGTATTTCTCAATGGCTGCAAGAATGCAGCCAGAGAGGAGAAATGATTGCTTTTGCAGCCTTTATGGGTGTAAAAGCAATAAGTGTAAAAAAAAAAAAAAAAAAAAAATCTTCATAACCCCCCACAAGTAGTACAGTGTCACCATGGTGACACTAATGCTAGGGTTACAGTATGTAAAAAAAAAAAAAAAAAAAAAAAATAATAAAACAAAAATACAAAAAAAAAGTAAAAACAACATTTTTTTAAAAAATTATAAATTGTTGGTTATAAACTAATTTGGGTTATTTTTTTTTCTTACTAAAAAGATAACTGAATAAATTTTGGCCAAGATTTATGAATAAAGATTATTTGCA